GCTTTTTTTTCTTCCTTAATTCTGACGACTACTATCCAATCCTCACAAACATGCTATTAAGGTCAACTGACATAAAGAACCAGGTTAATTTAATACATTTCCCCCTTGAGTCACCTGAATTATGGAGGTTATCAACCTAAATCCTATCATAATTTGTTTCTGTTTCAGCAGAACCAAAAGTAATTTTAATTAAGCTTAAATTTGATTGTTTCAATCTTGCACTCTGTCACGATTATTACTCACTTTTCAAGATCATTTATTCTCTTTCAGTAGCTATGGTTTCTAATGTCGCAACTCAACATCGGTGGAAAATGTTAATGGGCTAAGTTCAGCAATGTGACCACCCAAAGCATGTCCGTTTCCAAGCTAGGAGGCAAAAGAGATTGAAACAATTCTAAACTGCTTTTCTACAGCATGTCCCTTTCCGTGATGTAATTTAAGACCGACTTAAGCTTCTTCAGAACAGTTTAGTTGCTTACAGCAAAACAAAAATCATTGTTCTTCTTTTCAACAATTAAAAACTCAAATGAATTTTAAAATGTCTGAGTTATGATGAGAATTGCTTCAGTTTCCTCGTGGATTTGACTTTTTCCCTTAACAAACTAGTGAATCTCCTCTTCAAAATCCTGATTGTCCTGTTTAAAGGAGTTTGAAACTAGTCCAATAATTTTGCGTTGCTTTATCGGCCTGAAAGCAAGGGCCCAAAAGAGGTAGCTAGTTCCTAATATCTTCATGTGTACAAACGTCAGGCATGTAACAGTTATTCTCTGTCATGCATTTCACTACTTTCCCTTAAAAAACATAAATAGATAAATAGATAAATAAATAAATAAATAAAAGAGAGAGATTAATAAAAATATGTGAAATAAGTATTTCAAAAGAAAGTTTCTAAATGACTGATGTGGGATTCAGAAAGAATGCCCATCAAAAATTCACACAAGTCCAGTATCACCAGTATAAAGATGAAGACACAGAAAACTCCAAGTATAGTCTCCTAACGGCTAAACCCACACATGTCCTTGAGATAATATATACCTAACCCGGCAATGGAACACAGATAACTTAAAATCTAACAATTAATTACTCTACATCCAAATGTTTGTCTGCAATTAAAAACTAAAGAAACTAAGTGATACCTCTTAGACGGGAGGCGACACTCAAGTTCTGCATAAAGGGGTAAACCAAAAGGCGCTCGGTTGGTGTGGTGCAAAACCCAATCAACCGTAAAAGATTTCTATGGACAGCCACACTTATCATCTCAACTTCACGCTGGAATGCGGTATCTCCACCAGGACTCTCAAAATCAGTCAAACGTTTAACAGCAACTTTTGAGTTGTCGGTAAGCACTCCTTTATAGACTTTCCCAAAACCTCCCTGTCCAAGGACATTTTTCTCACTGAAGTTATCTGTAGCAAGTTGCAACTCTCTCCATGCAAATCTCTTCAATTGTCCAAATTCAATTCTCCGATCAACTTCACCTGAGCACTCATCATTAAAAATAAAAATATCAAAAAAAGAAGCAACAGGAGAAAAAACAGATTTTCAATTTTGCAGTTTCGATAGCTCTAGTAATTTGAACAACAAAAACTTTATGCAGATGTTAATGGATCTTATGAATACAAAAAGAAGAACAGACAAGAGAATCAAATTAACTGTTATTATTTTCCCAAGATTCTAATTAACTGTTGTGCAACCATGGACATCCCATTACAGGCTATAATATTAGTGGATGACTTCTGATACAACTACAAGAAATTTTAATGCCATTCTATATACAACAGTTCAAATCAAAAAAATGCTGTTACAGACTGTATACTGTAGAACAATTATTCAGAATCTCTTGCAGAGATCAAATACAAAAAGTTCACCATAACCAAGATTTAAGACAAACCTGCAACATCCACAAATACTTCACGCCTGTAGCTTTTGTGCCTAGCTTTCCACATAAATAACAGAAAAGAACCTCCAAGAAGAATAACCAAGAGCGCACCAACGATCCCTATTATCATACCCGTCTTTGATTTACTTGAATCACCTGCCAAGATAGAGATATTTGACTTCTATTTTCCAAATAACTTTTCATGTGTCATATTCTCTGGGGATACAGTTGTTAAATTATTCAAAACAATCTAGCTGCTAGATCTTTTTTGATGATTTGCTCTTCATTCATCTCACAAGATATACGTCATATATCCAACACCTACCATCCACACAACCTAGAGTAGCAGCGAAAATGTGAGGTGCATATACCTCCATTGTCTGATTCACAACGGTGGACAGTATTGATGCCACAATTTAGGTGGTTCCCTGTAAAACTGAAGAAAGCAACTTAAGCAAATTTGATGTCAATGTGATAAATGTGCTGAAGAGGTATTCATCCATACACGTTTAGATGTTCATAAGTATGTACACACATGCACACACATCTCCATATGCAGGTAGTTATATAAGTGGATAAGTAGGTAGGTAAGAAGATAAGAGGGAGAGAGCGAGGGAAGGGGGGAGAGAGAGAGAGAGATGATACTTGTACTTAGAAATTTGAAATAACTGCTCAGGTATTTGGCCACTGAGGTTATTCGAAGAAAGCTGACTGCAAAAGAGTATTGTCAAGTGTCATGTAAAACAAACTTGAATAAAGGTCAAGCATATTGCTTCACAGCAAAAGTCAATTTTGAGAGCAGCTGGCATCTGTTCTTC